CCCACTCCATAAAAAAAAAAAAAAGGAAAAAGGAAATTTTTTTTGATCGGTCCCCTTGTTTTTTTTTTCTTTTTTTTGGTTCCCCTTGACAAAGAATTCTTTCCACATTTCAGCCACCCCACGAAAAATTTTTCAGTTCAAATCTTTCTTCGAGAAAATCAGATCTAAAAACACTCACCTCAAACCTTTCCATCCATAAACGAGAATGGCCCCACTGTTACTAAACTTCATCCCTACATACAAATCCACCTTACCCGACGTCCCAAGAAAAAGGAAGAAGAGTCTTTCTCCACCCACAGCCACAACCTTAACTGCTTCTACATCCCGAACAGATCAAGAGTCCACATCTGACCCAGCCGACCTTCCATCAACTTCTGCCCCCTACTTAATACCAATTCCTGAACGTAAACGTCGAAGAAGGCTTGTAAAGACTGCCGAGATGGTTCGTCCAAGGCCCGTCGTTCAAGACCTTCTCGCCGATCTTCCAACTGACACCGAAGCTGCACCAACGCAATCAATGCTCCCACCAAAACCAAAGAGAAAAAAGGCTCAGCCTAAAGCCAAGGCTACAGATGCCGAAGCTGAGGATGCTGTGCCTATTTCAAAGCTGGCAGAAAGCAGAAAATCAACCTCTGCTTCCACCAAGAGGTCGGCTGAGGGTCAACCCTCTGGATCTACACAATCAAAGAGGCCAAGGTCATCGTCTGCGACGACTTCGGCGTCAAAGAAGCCCGATGTCCCGAATTAACTCTGGAGGATAAGCCTATCATGGCCAGTGAAAGTGCCGACGATATTAACGTTGGTGTTGCCCTTAGTACTGCTTTTCTGCTTCCAAATGATTTAGAGCGGAATGCCAAGCTTAGTGAGTATGAGAATTATGCTCTCATGCTCCAACATTCTGTTCAGGTAAGCATTTCTGTTTGTATTTGTGATTTTTGCTTCCGTTTTTTACTGAGAATACTGTCTAACACTTCTGTTTTTCTGCAGGCCATTCAGCATGCCTATTCATTTTCCATGCAATCTTTTGAGAATCGTCAAAAGTTGGTTGATATGAAAAGGGAAGCGTCTTCTATGAAGAGAGAGATAAGGTCCCTTGAAGCAAAAATGAAGAAACTGGAGGATCAAGCCGAGGCTGCAACTAAAGTTCAAACTTTAGCTCTTGAGAAGGCCGAAGCTGCTGAAGCCGTTAGAAAAGTTGCTGAGGCCGAGAAAAGAGAGGCCGAGGTTCAGAAGGCCCAGGCGGAGAAAGAACTCCAGCAAGCTCTTGCTACCAAAGAGGCCGAAGTCAAAGAGGCCGATGAAAAGGCCTATGCCTAAGGTATGGCCGACGTCGCAGAAGACTACAAGCTTCAAGTCAGGCAGGCATGCAACAGGGGATTTTCCCTTGGTTGGATGTCCTTGATAAAGAAGCTTGATCTTCCTGCTGACTCGCCATTGCGTCAGGCCGACGCTATTCCGTTACCATTTCCTCCACCTCCTCCTGAAGGTGAATCAGAGTCTGAGGCCGATGCCGTGGATGAAGATGAAGAAAAAGATGATGGTGAGGCCTTGGTGAGAAAACCCAAGGATGCTGCCGAAGCCAAGTCTCCTCCTCCTGCTGAGCAGGTTATGGACTTAACTTTGGATGAGGAGGGTGATGAGGTTGAGGGGGTACCCAAGGAGACTACCACTGGGCAGTTATCGTCTAATCTTCTCTTGGTAGAAAGAAGTGTTGAGTCAACAATCGCAGAGATTGATGCCGAGATACAAGCGGAAAAAGTTGCCGACGAGGTACCACCAGAGTCGTCCGAGGTCCCAGTCCCTGCAGTGGCTAACACTGAAGAATCTTGAAAAAATTGCCCTTTGTACTTTTTTCCTTCTTTTTCTGTTTTTTGCGCTTTGTACTTTTTTACTTTCTGGATAATGCAAAACTCTTTCTTTTGGCCGACGTGGTTTCCTCAATATGTAACTGCAACAGTTCTTCCTCTAGATGTTTTAATCTTGTGATATTCTGTTGACTGCTTCTGCATAGTCTTGTACTTAGAAAATTTTTTGCATGCTTCTTCATGTTGCTTCCTTGGTGCAATCTTCTCGGGATTTCATACCTCGGGTATAACCATAAAACTTTTACTTCGGCAAGATACTGTCCTGCAATTTGTAAATTGCTACAAATTTCAACAAGTAGTGAACAATATACTTAGCCTTTACCTTAACCTGTAATTTTCTGTATACCTCAGTGGGTGATCATATGTCGGCTTAACATAAACTTGTAAATTGCTACAAATTTCAACAAGTGTTAAGCATCTTCTCTAGGTTTTAAACAACCCGCATATTGCCATGAGAATTTAAGCAATAATCTCGGCCAGTCTTTGACTTGTAAAAAACAAGTGAAGATAAGGAATCAGCTTAATTCCAACTTGTAAATTGCTACAAATTTCAACAAGTGAATTAAGGAATAATCTCGGCTTAACTTCAACTTGTAAATTGCTACAAATTTCAACAAGTGAAGATAAGGAATCATCTCAGCTTATTCTTTGCCCCCAATGTGAACTTGAGTTTGACTTGGGTTCACATTAATTATGTCTTTAATCAATGTATAACTTTATCAATCATACATGTTGAAAGGATTCTGAAAAGACTTTATTGATGATATCGGCCAAACAATGTTGTTTATCTAATGATAGAAAAATTTCAAATTACAAGTATTCCAAGGTCTGGGCAACGCTTTGCCCTCATTGTCCTTAAGCCGATAAGCTCCATTGCCTAATACTGAAGTAATTCTATATGGTCCTTCCCAGTTTGGGCCGAGCTTGCCTTCCCTGGGATCCTTCTTGTTCCCGACGACCTTTCTTAGGACTAGGTCGCCAACTTGAAAGTCTCTTGGATTAACCTTCTTGTTGTAAGCTCTGGCAAGCTGTTGCTGGTATACTGCGAGCTGAATTGCAGCTTTCTCTCTTCGTTCTTCCAATAAATTCAGGTCTCGGGCTAAGAGTATGTCGTTGGTGCCATTCTCTACTCCCTGGGTTCTGATCCCTGGGATGCCGATCTCCAATGGGATGACTACTTCTGTGCCATAAGCCATGGCAAAGGGGGATTCTCTTGATGTCGGACTCTGTAGTTCTAGGATGGCCTTGATTTGGTCTGGGCTGGCCTCAATGCCCTTTCTTGTTACCAGATATCCTAGAAATTTACGTAACCCAACTCCAAAGGCATCCACCCACTTTCCTTTTGCTGCCTGGAGCCTCTTCTTTATTCCCTCCAGGATTACTTTGTTGGATGCCTCTGCTTGCCCATTGCTTTGAG